GATCCCCACCTGCAATCCCCTTCCCACTTGACCTTGCCTCTAGGTTCATATTATTTATATCTAGAATTGACCATACTGCTCCTCTCTTCAAATGTCTTTAGTGCTTTTCTACTTCCTTCTGGGTGAAGCTCAGGCTTCTCCTCCTGGCATTCAAAGCCCTCTACAATCTGGTGCCATCCTACCCTTCCCATCTATTGCGCTTGACTCCACTCCTAGGAGTCTGGGCTCTGGCTAGACTGGACACTGGCGTCCTGAAGACACTAGCTTTTCTCAGCTAACATCCCTTTGCTTACGCAGCCACTAGGTGGCGGAGTGGGAGAGCTCTATTTCTGGAGTCAGCAAGACCTAAATCTGAACTTGATCTTAGACACTTAAGAGCTGGGTGACCCGGGCAAGGCACTGAATACCTGTCTGCCTTAGTTTCCTTATCTGTAACATGGGGATAATTTAGTGCCTAACTCTTTATATCTCTCCTGCCCTTTGTAGCTCAACTCCTCCAAAAGGCTTTCTACAAGAGGTGCCTTCTCCTCCTCTCCTCACCCTTTCTTATTAACCCCTTACAGTCTGGCTTCTGACCTCCTCATTCCACTGACACTGCTCTCTCCAAAGTTACTAATGGTCACTTATCCTCCTTTTCCTTGTTCTCTCTGCAGCCTTTGACATTGCTGATCACTCTCTCCACCCTGATACTCTGGTCTTTCTAGGTTTGCAGGCTACCCCTCTCTCCTGGTGTTCCTCCTTCTCTGCGCCTTTGCTGTCTCCTTTGCTGCATCCTCATCCAGACTCTGCCCTCTAACTGGAGCTGTCTCTCAGACTTCTGTGCCCAGGGCTCTTCTCTTCTCTTCTCCCTCTAAAGGACTTTATTTGATTATCTCATCAACTCCCATGGATTTAATTACTGTCTCTCTGCTGATGATTCTCAAGTCCACATTTCCTGCCCCTGTCTGTCTGCTGACCTCCAATGTCTGATCTCCAACTGCCTTTCAGACATCTCAATCTAGATGTCCAGTAGACTTCTTGAACTCAATATGTCCAAAACAGGACTCATCTTTCCCACTATGTGCTCCCCATGTCCTACCTCCATTATGACTGTGGAGGCAACACCATCCTCCCAGCCCCTTACTTCACAACCTAGCAGTCATCCTGGATTCCTCACTATCCCTTATCCCCCACATCCAATCCCCTGGCAAGGTCTCTCAGTTTCACCTTTGAAATATCTCTGTTATAAGCCCCTTCTCTCCTGTCACAGGACCACTACTCTAGCACAGTCCTTCCTTGCCTCATGCCTTGATTTCTTCAATAGCCTGCTGGTGGCTCTGCCTGCCTCAAGTCTCTCCCCACTCTAATCCACCCTCATCCAGCCACTAAAGGGATTTTCCTAAAGTCCAAGTCTGATCATGTCCCTCTGCTACTCCATAAACACTAGTGACTCCCTATTACCTCAGAGAGCAAATTCAAAATGACCTGTTCTGAATTCAAAGCCTTCCATAACCCAGACCCCTCCTACCACCCTGACCTTCTTACACCTTTCTCCCCAACACATACTCTTCAATGCATTGAAGCAGGCCTCCTGGCCATCCCACCAACAAAGCCTTCCATCTCTCAGCTCTGGGCATTCTCTCTGGCTGGTCCCCAAGCCTGGAATGTTCTCCCTTCTCCCCTCTGACTATTGACCCCCCTGGCTTCCTTCAAGTCCCAATAGAAACCACACCTTGTACAGGAAGCCTTAGCTAACCACCCTTAATTCCAATGCCTTCACCTTTTATTTCTCATTTATTCTGTATGTACTGTGCTTTGTGTATATTTGTTAGCATGTTCTTTCACCCAATAGATTGTAAGCAGTGACTGTCTTTCACAAAGTCTTTTTGTATCCCCAGTGCTTAGCAGGGTGCCCAGCACATAGTAGGTGCTTAATTAATGTTATTGATTATTCATAAAGCACTTTGTCAACATTTAAGCATTCTAGAAATGCTAGGGTTGAAAATGATAATGATGATGATGAAGATAATGATTCTGTGTCCTGTAAGGGGATGCCTTCCTTCTTTCTGTTTCTATTTACCTGCTCCCCATCCTCTACAGCCCATCTCAGAGGCAACTGCCCACAGAAAGCCTTTCCTGGTCCCCTCCTCTGTAACAAGCCTCACTGTGAAATATTGTCTAGGACAGAGTGTCATATACAGTAGGTGCTTAATGTTTGCTGAATTTAATTGAACAGCATTTAATTCTGCACCTTGCTAATCCACTTAGCATATATTATTGATTATTATACTTCTTTGTGCATCTTACCTCCTTAGCATACCCAAAGCTCCTTGAGAGCGGGGTCCTGGTTCAATGTAAACATCATATCTCCCTCAGTACTAAGCACAGGACCATTTAAACAGTAAGTGATTAATAAATAACAATAGCAACAAAAAAAATAAGAGCTCACATTTGTATAGTGCCTTTTAGGGCAGCTAGGTGGCTCAGTGGACAGAGTACTGTGTCTGGAGTCAGGAAGACCTGAATTCAAATTCTGCCTCAGATACTTCCTAGCTGTGTGAGCCCAGGCGAGTCACTTAACCTTGCTTGCCTGAGTTTCCTTATCTGTCAAAAAAGCTGGAGAGGGAAATGGCAAACCACTCCAGATATCTCTGCCAAGAAAACCCCAAATGTGGTCACAGGGAGTTGGACAGGACTGGAACAACAGAACAAAATCAACAAGATGGTGATTTACATGAGCGATACACATTACAAATATTATTTCATTTCATTCTCAGAACAACCCTGGGGAGTAAAAGCTCTTAATGTGCTCACTTTACAGATGATGAAAGTGAGGCAGACAGAGGTTAAGTGACTTGCCCCAGGTCACATATAGTAAGTGCATGAGTCTGGATGAGAATTCAGGTTTTCCTCCTCTGGGTCTTTTAACTGATTTAATTATGGTCTGAATAAGTATTCAGAAGCTCACTATATCCTGTCTAATATTTTGTTTTGTATCTATATCTTTTTTCTTAAAGGCAATCAGGATAAAGTGATTTGCCCAAGGTCACACAGCTAGTAAGCATCTGAGGCCAGATTTAAACTCAGGCCCTCCTGATTCAAGGGCCAGTGTTCTGTTCACTGTACCATCCAGCTGCCCCATTTGTATATCATCTTGTGCCTCTCCCCTCACTCTCCCATACACTATCAACCCTTTAGTGCCAAAATTAATGGGGCCTTCTTTTGTCTTTCCAACATCACTCGGCTGGCCACGTAGGAGACATTGAGTGAATATTTCTTGTTTGACTGATGTGCATAGTATGTGGGTACAAGACAGGAGAGAAATCCTTAGCCAATCCATACCCTCCTCAGTACATGAGAGTTGGGTGTCAGTACAAGCCTTTGTATCCTAGTTCTCTGAGTTCAGGCCAAAGAGCAGGTCCCCTCAACCTGTCAGTGGGAAACCCCAGGCCTGAATGATTACCTTGTGGGGAGAGCCCCTGTGGTTCAGAAAGCTCAGAGGGACCTGGGCTTCCATCAAAGAGGGGCATCCAGCTTTCTTTGTCTTTGCTCTTTCTTTTGCTTGAGAGAAAATGGGTTGAGAAAGGCCCTGAAAGGCTGAGGCTAAACAGGCAATGATGGTTTATAATCATTGTAACATCTTCCTGGGTTTGTTGAATCTACAGAACTTTGTATTTAGGGATGATTGGGATGGTCTTCTGAGTCTGTGGGATTGTGTAAGACCCTGCACTACTGGTTGCTCTGAGATTCCTTCCTGTAGAGTCCTGGGGAAGCAGATGATAGGACATCCCTCATGGCTGCCCAGAGACCAGAGGGGATTGTTCTAAACTGGGGGGAAGAACTGGTTCATAATGCATCCCTGCCTATGGGATGAAGACACAAATCCTTGAAATGGAGAGAGAAGGAGAAGGGGGACTTTACTTTGTGTCTTCCCTGCTGACCTGACATGGAGGGACCCATGTGAGAGATTCCAGGGGCCTGAGTCAGGGAGAAGCCATTCTGTGTTTCCTTACCACTTGGGAGGTTGCAGCCACTTTCTACTGGCTGGAAAAGGCTGTTTCTAGAAAAGACCAGGCTAGAATTCATTCTATGTCTCTGTCCTGTCTCTCTGTCTCTGTCTCTGTCTCTCTCACTATCTCTGTCTTCATGTGTGTGTGTGTGTCTCTCTTCATCTCTTTCTCTCTCTTTTCTTCTAGATGTATCCAGTGGAAGTGAAAGGCCTATTCACCCATATGGCATTAGTACCGTCAACTGAGCTGAGTGTTTTTTCTCTTCCCAATCCAGGCTCTGCATCCCTCCACAAACAGGCTTAGGGTGTGGGTAGGGGCTCCTTCTTGGTCCTTTTTACTTCTAGGCACTGGTTAGGGATCCTCCAACCCACCTAGACCCAAGCCATGGAGACCTTGGAGGGAAGAATCAAACCCAATATTGCTGCCAGCCCAGAAGGGAAGCCCTGAGAAGACAGGTGCCTGGGACTTCAGTCCAAGGTGGGTTTTGGACTTGAAACTTGGTGGGATTATACTATGTAGGAAATGGGTTAAGCTATGAACTTGAACTCCCTTTATCCCACAATCTGCAGAGACTGAGGTGGCCTGCGTGGGGAGGACAACGTCTTCGGGTGTCACAGAAAGTGTCATTTGTACATTTGTTCTCATGACCACTATACAATTAAATATTACTGTATAAAAGCTAACCTGACCATTAAGTGGTTACATAGAATAAGGATATAGAAGAGGCTCTAAAATTGGGGAATCATCACTGAGGGGACTTGAACCAGTGACAGAGAAGCTGGATCCCCCAAACCCCATTAAAGGTACCAGAGGACTCTGAGGCTGAAAGACAACAGTCAGTGGGGGCCTGGGTAGTCACTAAGACAGAAATACTAACCCACAACATAGTTGTGAGACTCTAGTGAAACAATGTATGAAAAGTGCCTTAGACACTCTGAAGATCTGGGCCAATGCCAATGTCTGAAGGTCCTTCCAGCTCTACAGAGAATCCATGTCCCAGGCAGGACCTACCTGATACCTGAAGGTCAAAGCTGGTTTCATTGTAAAAGGAGCCTTCCTGGAAATAACATGTGTACTGGCCGGAGTCAGAGAGCTGGACCTGATGGATGATCACAGTCACCTTCCCCTCAGCCATGTCCTCTCTCAGCATCTTTGTCCTCCCTTGGAATGCAGGGGCTTGGACTTCCTGCACCTCCTTCCCCGTGCGGTACAAGTGCACAACCAGTGGGCCTCTGACCCACTTCACACCCATTCCCCGAGCATCCATCTTAGGGAAGAGGTGACAGGAGAGCTGGACATCTTCCCCCACCCAGGCCCGGATGGGCTGGACCAGAGGGCCAGATACTGTGAATGTGCCTGTGTGGAGAACCAGGGACAAAGAGCAGAGAATGAGAGAACACTGGGGTGGAGGAGTTAATATGGCCCTCAGTTGTCTTACTTGTAAAATGGGCCTGGGGACAGGATCAGATGATATGTAAAGGACATCCCAGCTCTAATACTTTGTGACTCTGGTTCCCTATTTTTGTGGGTTATATTCCAGGCTGGCAAAACTTCCCTGTTTTTCCTATGTTATGAATATTTAATGTGACATGTTAGTAGAACAGAGAGAAATTTAAAGTGCCAAAGTTTAAATGGATCCTCAGAGATATTAAAGCCCTTCCATATTGCTGTCATAGACTCCTTATATTTTGTACAAGAATATCAACAGTTTCCATCCTCTTCAAGAGTTGAACTGAACAGTGACTTAGTCTCCCACATTACTGACAAGTTTGAGTCCCTATTATGAGAGATCTTTCTATTCTACATCTCCTCCCTTCAGGGCTCAGTAACCTAAGAACTTGAACTGGATGAGGTCCCTCCCAACTCCACAGTCCTATGTTACTACAGATGGTGGTGGAGGTGCCTAGGAGGGGGACGATGACCCTGACTTCAGTGACCATGCCTTGTCTAAACTTTGTACCCTACAAGTGTTACAACACAGGCCTTGGAGTGTAATAGGGGCTAATAAGTATCTCTTGAATTGGTGGTTTATTTGAGTGGGTAGTGATCTGTGGAGGCCACAGTGGCAGAGACTAAAGTAAACTTACCTGAGCTAGGAATACCAGAAAGTGCAAGGATGAGGTGTATGAGGTATGAAGGTAGAGTAGGGCTGTTGTAGGAAGCTGGCTGGTGATTCCACTTCATGGTCCAGAGGATGGCTGACAGGAACCCAACTAGGGGACTGCTAAGAACAAACAAGGATAACCTTAAGATCAGAGATCACATTTTATCTAAACTTTCAAACTCCATTAATATTAGAACACAAGGTCCTGTGAGCAATGGGGGCTAAATAGGTGTTTCTTGAATTGATGGTTTAACTAAATCGAAATATCAGTGGGTAGTGATATGTGGATGGCAGAGACCAAAGTGGACTTACCTGAGCTAGGAATACCCAACTAGGGTGATGCTAAGAGTAAGCGAGGATGTTGCCAGTAAAGAGCATATTAACAGAGTCAGAAAAAAATTCACCTGACCCCTTAGCCCAGGATTCAGGAGTGTTGTCTCAGAGTCTGGGCATAGAAGAGCATAGAAACTCTGGTCCAGCTTGCGTCCATCCCACCTCATCTCCCCCTCCTCATACAGATCTCACAGGTCAGGCTGGTGCCCACATAACCCATATTCATTTCAATCCCCACAGCTCAGCTCATATATTTTCTAACCTATAATGTCTTACCCACTCTCCTCATCAGTAACAGGAAAGTTAGTAAAACAGGAGGTTTGGGAAGTGTGTGTGTGAAGACAATGAGTCTTTTTGGCCATGCCGAGTTTAAAATGCCCATGTGACATCCAGCTGAAGATTTCTAAAAGGCAACTGGTAATTCAGGGCTGGAGCTCAGGAGAGAGGGCAGGGCTGGGAATCATCTGCATAGAAACAATAAATGAATCCATGGGAGCCAAGATCACCAAGGGACACAGCACAGAAGGAGAAGAGGACATTACTCAGAAAAAAGTCTTGGGGGCACCACAATTAGTGAGTAAGACTTTGATGAAGATCCAGGCAAGGAGCCTGAGGAGGAGCCGCCAGACAGGAGAACCAGGGAGGGCAGTGTCACTGAACCCTAGAGAGCAGGGAGAGCTGAGGAAGAGTTATCTGTTTTTACAGCTTTCAAGGATTCTTGAATGATTTTAGACGTATGCGTGGGAGACATCTTGTTTAACAAAAACCTTAAATGTAGATTTTTTTCTCTATTAAAATGCTTTAAAAAATTTTTATTGATGTTTTCTCTTTCTTACATCACCATAGTATTCCATGTATCCCTCTCCCTCCACTTTCCCAAGATTTATTCCTTCTGTATTTTTGGGGGGGGAGGGGGAATTATCACAATTAATCAACATATTGACAATGGCCAACAAGTGCAATGGGTATCATCTGTGGACCTCCCACCTCCAGGAAGGGGCTGTTTGGAAATGTCTTTTCATATCTGTTCATTTGAGTCCCTATGGAATCTTTATAATTTTGTTATATTTACTTTTATTTTATTTTATCCTTAGTTTATAGAATTAAACAAACATTTCTATAATACAGTACAATAAAAAACATGATTGCATAAAAAGCTGCAAATCTGCTATGCACAACTTGCTATTCTTTTCAAATACTTGACAAAATTATAACGTAATTTTTTTCTTTTTTTATTTCTCCGCGCCACCCCCCCGTAAGTGATAGCTACCATTAGACACAGATGGGAATATATGTATAAAATTATTCTATAAGTACTTCTATTTATCAGTTCTTTGGTGGGATGCAGATAGCACCTTTCTTCATGTCCTTTATAATTTGGGTATTTATAATAGCTAAAATAACTTATTTACTCAAAATCATTCTCAAAACAATATTGCTATTACTGTATACAATGTTCTCTTGGTTCTGCTCATTTGTCTTTTCATTATTTTGTGCAAGTCTTTCTAAGTTTTTCTAAGATCATCAAACTCATCATTTCTTTATTATTATTATTATTATTAATTTATTTTTAGTTTTCAATAATCACTTCCATATGCTTTTGAGTTTTGAATTTTTCTCCCCCTCCCCCCCAACATGGTGTGCAATCTGATATAGGGTCTACATATACATTCCTATTAAACATATTTTTATGTTAGCCATGTTGTAAGAAAGAATTAGAACCAATAGGAAGAATCACAAGAAAGAGAAAACAAAACAAAACAGAAGGAAAAAAAGAGCAAATGGTATACTTCGATCTGCATTCAAATTCCGTAGTTCTTTCTCTGGATGTGGATAGCATTTCCATCATGAGACTTTTGGAGTTGTCTTAGATCCTTGCATTGCTGAGAAGGGCTTCTAGAAACCAAGATGGTGGAGTAAGAAGTAAGTTGCTGTCACCCTCCCTTATTAATCTCTGAAAGCCCAGAAAATATCGTACCCAGGAAAAACTCTGAAACAGCTGAACCAGCAGAAAGACAGGGGGCAGCAGTTTGGTAGCCCAAGTAGCTTAGGGGATTAACGGGAAAGGCCCCTCTTGCTCTGGGGAAGAGGGAGCAGTACAGCATGACCGACATCCCAGCAAGCTAGCAGAAAGCCCCACCTTGGTACACTAGGGAGAGATCCTGAACGCCAAGTGGTGGAGCAGGCAAGCACCAACACCAGGGCCCCCAAGTGCCTCAGTACAGACAGGGGAATGAGTGGAAACTGGCTCAGGAAAACCACCACGCTCCACGGCATTCTCTGGCAGCCAGGCTCCCAGTGCCTCAGCAAAACTCTGGGAAACACATCTCCAAGAGGGAAAGCTCCAAGCAGAGAACATCCTGCAGCAGTAGGGTATAGGTAATTTAATAACTTTTGGGGCATAATTCCAGACTGCTCTCCAAAATGGTTGGATGATTTTAGAATTCCACCACAATGAGTTAATGTCCCACCTCTTCCGCATCCTCTCCAATACTTGTCTTTCTCTCCAATCATTTTAGCCAATTTGGTATGTGTAAAACCATATCTCAAGGTTGTTTTAATCTGCATTTCCCCAATTAATAATGATGTAGAGCATTTTTATATGACTATAAATTGTTTTGTTTTTTTTCATTGGAAAACTGCCTGTTCGTATCCTTTGGCCATTTATCAATTGAGGAATAACTCATATTTGTATCAGTTTGGCAAAATTCTTTATACATTTTACATATGAGACCTTTATCTGATAAACTGTCTATAAAAAATGTTTTCCCAATGTTCTGCTTTCCTTTTAATTTTGGCTATGTTGGGGTGCTTGGGTGCTTGTGTTTGGGTGCTTGTGGTTGGACACCAATTTCTCCCTAGCCTCAGAAACACTGTCTCTGGCAGTGTCTCCCCAGCCCAAGGACACTGTGCCTAGCAATTACTCATGAGTGGGCCCCAGCAAGACCCTTATCTCCTTCCCTGGTGCAGTTACAAATGGCACCTGAAGGAATTATTAGTTTCAACTGGCTTTGCACTGGGTCATAAAGATATTCTTACCCACTGTGTTGAGGGCCGATCTTAAGAGTCTGATATGGGTTTAAGATCCAGGACAGAGTTTGACCTTTGCCCAGGCTTTTACCCAAAGGGCTCAGTAATTAAGAAGCATGGCTCTCCAATCTCTCCCTGTTAGGAGGTTCCTGAGACATTCCTTCTCACTTTTTGAACCTTAGATTTACATATTCACTCCTCTATACAGGCGCCAGGAAGGAGCCTTGGAATTTACAACTCTATCTAGGAACTCTGATAAGGAGGAAATGTATATTATCATACCCTTAGCAGATGTTTCAGGAGTGTCTCACGGGGAGGACTCTCTGAAGTTAGGATGGATTTTCTGTATATATCCTGTACCCTCAGAAAAATAAACTGAGTGAGTTTTTCTGCTCCGCCTGGCCCACTCCTTCATGTCTTTTTTCATGCCTTTCTGTTCAGTGTACTATCTGGTTGCGGGCAACTATCTATACTACTGTCTTACCTCTGATGCATCCTGGACTCCTCATTATCTGTATTCTAGACCCAAGACATATGGATACTCCCTACATCTGTCTCGTCAAACAAGACATTGACTGGTGGCAGACTGGACATCTCTCAGTTACCCCTGAACTCTAGTTAACTTAGTGATGTAGCAGGCCTAAACCCACACTTCCATGTGGCCCTCCTTGTAGGCTTTTCCCAGTGAACTCTGGGTAAAACGCCTGCCCAGTAGAAAAAAGAAGTGTATGTTCTTTTAAGAACTGACCCCTCCTTAACCACTCCCTGATCCTGCCCTGAATCACCTAGTCAGCATATTTGGCACATGTTTTATTATATTTTATCCTATATAAACTTTAACTGTACCCCTCTAAAGTCACAAGTTCCTTAAGAATCCTTGCCTGCTATATAGTGTAACAATAAACTTTTTGCCAACTTGACTTTAAAGAATGCTTGAGTCTGTGAATTCATTTCAGACAACCCAGTCCTGTACTCCAGTCTTTGAGGGGTCTCAACCTCTCAGACCGCAACAGGTATATTTGTTTTATTTATACAAAAATTTTCTTAATTTAATGTAATTGAAATCATCCATTTTACATCTAGCTTTGCTCTCAGTCTCTTGTTTATTCATAAATTCTTCACCTATCTATAAATCTGATAAGTAATATGTTCAATGTTCTGCTAATTTTCTTGTAAAGTCTCTCATTCAAAGTTATAATTACTGCTTGTGAATTTCCCTCCACCTTATTTTTATTCACTAATTTCCTTTTCAACCTCTGCTTTCATCCTATGCCCAGTACCTTATCTTCTCCCTTTAACCTCTTATTCTTTATTTGACTTACCCCTCTAAAAAACCCCTCCCTTATTTCTTCACCCCACCCTCCTAAACTTAATCTATATACCCTTCTAAAAGTCTATCACTCAACATATTCTCCAGTTTTCTCACCTCTCTAGAAGTTCAGAAGACTTTTAAACCTCTTCTAATGTATTTGCTGTTTCCTTTTCAATCCAGATGAAAGTAAGGTTCTTTCAAACTATCTTATCAATGATAAATTTTAAGAATGCTATTACCACTAATAATGACTAATATTAATAGTACTTTATATATAATAAGCAAACAGTTTGATCTTTATCATTGCCTTATAACTTAAAAAATATTGAAAACAACAAGAAAAAAACACTTTAAATACTGTGGGAAAACAATCAGGACTTTAAAAATTTTCTAAATTATAAAAATTTAAAGTTTTTAAAAAGAATGATAAAAATTGTTTTTGCATATAACTGGGAAAAAGCAAAATATTATTTTAAAAAGTGAAATGATTGTATAGCATGATGGCAACTCTTTTTTTGGGGGGGATTCACTTGATGCAGAGTACATTTTCTTTTCAATTCTCTCAGTTTTATTTTGTGTATGTCTCTGTTTTTTAAGTTTATTTCTTGTAAGCAACAGATTGTAAGCCTTTGTTTTCTTATCTAATCTGTCATTCTTTTTTATTGGATTGTTTATCTACTTTTACAGTTAAAAGAAGGAAGTTTATATTTTCTTCCATCTACCTCTAAAATCGGAATTTTTCCAAGTTATGATTTTTCTCCCCTTCTGCTATAAACATAGTATTATATTCTTTCAGATACTTTCATTTTTTTTAAGGTGTCCTGTTTCCATTGGCTCTCTCTCCCTCACCCCAGTCCCCTCTTATCACTTATTACCCCTTTGCCTTTAGAGGTTTATTTTCTCTTCTCTCTTGCTTTTATCTGGTTGTATATGTCTCCCCTCTTATTTTTCTCACTTAGGTAGATTCCACCCTTTTCTCCTTCCCTTCAGCTAGTCCTGCACATTAATTTTTTTTTAATTCTTTTTTTGTGTTTTTTCAAAAAAGGAATTTTTTCGCTCTCTTCATTATCTGTAGAGGGCTGAGTCCTTATGGAAAATCTCTAAGTCCTTATAGACTTCAGGGGTCAGTACTTATAAAGGCTTGCCTCTGCATAAACTCTCCCATGACTCTTGCCCTAGCTCTGTTTGTTATGGTTTGCTGATTCTAAGTTCTCACTCATACTTAGCCTTGAGGCCAGGTGGCTGACTCGAGCAGGCAATACTAAGAACGGGGCAGGGAAACAATAGGTACGAAATTTGGCCTTAAAACTACTTCTCATAAGAAAATGAGGATCTTTAGCTGCTTAGATTGTTTATGTTATTAGTTAGCACGTGTAGATCATTTCTCGTGGTACAAAGCTGTTTCCTCTAGTATATAATCTTGTAACACCTGAAAATAAACTAGTCTTCTGAGCATTAGTCTCAGACTCGCCTAGCCTGACTTTTCTTTCTCCAGTTCCCCTTCCACTTTTTCTTTCACCGCTCTGTCATACATCACGCCAGCTAGCAGCAATTATCCATTTCCTCTTTCTGTCTATCCTAGACCTTCACTCTGTGATTCATGACCCTTACAATCATCTCTCTAGGGCTATCTCTTTTCTTCATACAATCAAAGCTTCCAAGGAACCCGTTCTAGGCTCTGCCCTCCGGGCCCTTTCTGCTACCTCATGGTAGGCTTATCCCAGGGATTTCCCTTTTCCATTGTGCCTCACTCTCACAACAATGTCAATTATGGCAGCTATCAGAGAGGATACTGCCCTGTTGTAGGGCACTGTTCCCACCACTGATGCATACCTTCTCTTGTTGGCCAGATTCTTTCTATATTTGCCTGGAGTTCTCCCTGGGTCTTCTCCTTCTCCAGATGCCAGTTGCCCCCGAGGGTTCCAACTCCCCCACCTTAGAAGGACAAGTAGATATTTCAGGTACCAAATCCCCTGGCTTCACCTAGAGAAAGGTCCTCCTCTCTCTTCTCCCACAGAAGCATTCACCAGTGGATTCCTCTCCCTTCTCTAAAATAAGGCCTCCTCCTTCTCCTTCCGTTTTCAGTCTCCCCCAGCTCCTCCTCGGCCACTCCCTACAGGCTTTTTTCTCTTTTGGAGACCACAGGTGTCACCTTCTCCTCTTAGCTAACTCTGCATTTGACCCTGGTGAATCATTCTCTTGTCTTTATACTCTCTCCCCATACCCCCTTGCTCCCCTCTCCCCATCAACAAAGGCAAACTGGGGCACTCCTGATAGCTTTTTATATACATTGGATCTCAATATTAGTCACACTTACAGTTTCATTTCTGCTGTCAAATCCCTTCTTTTGCAGAAGAAAAAAAAAAAGTAAAACAAAACAAACAAATGAGAAACTCTGCCTTCTCTCTACTCTTACTTGTCATTAAACCAGCCACCTCTCTTCCCCAAAAGTCTTATTTTTTCAAAG